GTTCAGATCTATCTATATGTCCGAATAAATAAATCCATAAAGATATTGATAAAGAAATTGAATGGATCAATGGATAAACACATTCGAAAGAGTAATCAGAAACTTTCTCATTTACCGGGCATTGACAACTTTTTCTTTTGGACCCGAATCTAATTCTATGAATCCACACATCGTATTATCGATTATAGCGTGAAATTGGATAATCAATGTATTTGCACCAAATTACTTATCTCTTGATCATTGCAAATATTGATTTCCCACAGTGACTCCAAGAAAATTGAATAGGCAGGGAATTTGTCGCTAAAGTAGTCGAAAAGACATATCTACAGTCATATATATATATATATATATATATATATATATATATATATATATATATATATATATATATTATTTCGTTTTATATGAATTTTCGATACATCAGCACCAAACGGCAATCGTCTGTTCCAGCTCTGAATACTCCGCTATTGTATGTTGCCAGTTAGTGTTGATCTCACTATTCTCCTTTTTATTTACATACGCGCTATTGAGCACTTTTACTCATAGACATACCATACCTTAGAACTATATTTTTATCATATATATATATATATATATATATATATATATATATATATATATGAAAATTTCTCTGATTTAACCAGTAGAGAAGACAATATTTATGAATAAAAATGACAATAGGAAAACTGGTAATTGCTGACGCGTTCCGTCCAATGTGAACGTTATTAAAGCAAAATACGAAAATCTTCGTATTTTGCTTTGATAAAGTCCGCATTGCACGAAACGCGTCAGCAATTACCAGTTTTCCTATTGTCATTTTTTCATATATTATATATATATATATATATATATATATATATATATATATATATATATATAGCAACAAATTCCCTGCCTATTCAATTTTCTTGAAGTCACTGTGGGAAATCAATATTTGCAATGGTCAAGAGATAAGTAATTTGGTGCAAATACATTGATTAGCCAATTTCACGCTGGTTCAAATTCCAGTCAAATCCATTATATTTACTTACGTGCTAATACTCTTCGGAAATGTGTAAATCCTCTTTTTCTCCCTCCAGCTATGGGTTAAATAGCAGCACAACTGGTTTCAATAGCCTTGGATGGCAACTGGTCTAAAAGAAGGACAACTCTGAATTTACAACAAGCGAAGGGTCTTTTGGGGACCTTGTGGCACGTAGTGCACCATGTCTCTGTATTCGGCCCTTGAAAAAGTGTGGGTGGTCCTGCACGAAACCTTCACCACTATAATCATATATATATATATATATATATATATATATATATATATCATGTGACCTACCGAACGCCGAATGCAGGTAACCTGATAGCTGTATCCAGTTTTGCAAAAAGAAAAACAGCATGTCGGGGATAGATGAAAAAAAAATCGCTCCAGGGTAAAAGTTGGGCAGTCTCTCAAACAACGCAGACGACAATGTAAGGTCCACTTTCCATTTCCTTCCAATTAAGCTAAAGTATATATTTTCTGAGTAAAACAAATAAAGATCCGGTTTTGATATATTTCTTTATATATTTTGATATATTGGAATTTGGTTGGAAATGCTTGTCAGTTGAAAATATTGTTTGGGAAGGATATAAGTGTGGACTGTTATGTCCAAGGCCCATGCAAGGGTCTCATGTCCTCCTCCCGAATCTGTGATACGGGGCCTCCCGCTTTATTACATTTCAATTTTCATAAGATTGTATCCATGTAAAAAATTGTAATCTAATTATATACTATAACGCATCCTATTCATCTAGAAAAATTGGAAATCAATACAATGTATCTAAATACAAATTTAAGACATGTCATAATAGATCATTTCATCTTAAATAAATCAACAATGTTTTGCCTCAGTTTTGAGGTATTTTTTTGTTAAAAAGTTGAATAATTTTAACACATTCAACATTCTGGATGAAAAATAGTGTATTTTATATCGTGTTTTTTTTTTTTTTTTTGTTTCTAAGCCGAGTATAAGCAAAACAAATTCGCGGATTTAGACAAATGAATGACTTCAAAATCCGCAAAAAATGTTTAAATGTAGATAAAAAAAAAAAGGAAGCAAATGTTAATAAGATAGCGAATGTCACAAAGCATTGCCCAGGGCCCCCAATCAGGCTTGCCTCGCTCTGGTCGGGCTGCGTGGGCGTGGGCGTGGTGGGAGATTTTGCTGTTACTTGACATCGGACCTGAGTCGAAGTTATTGTAGTCTTAAGTTGGCCGAATTAATTTTAAACGATTTTTAGTTGTTTCATGGATTGTACGAGATGGTGTATTTCATGTCGAATTGCTTCTTTTTTTAAAAATCTTATTGTAGATGATTCTATAGGTAAAAACCAGTCGAATTGGTGCCACATCCATAGGTAACATTAGTCGGATTTGTGTTGTCTACACGTAAAATATAGGGAGGTGGAGTAATAGATTAAGGAATCGGAGAGCGGAGTTCAAATTCCAGTCGAATCAGTACATTCACTTACGTCCTAATACTCTTGTGAAAGGTATGAATCCTTTTTTTCTCCCCCCAGCTATGGGTAAATAGCAGATAAGATCGGGTTCTATATCCTTGGATGGCAACTGGTCTACCGCAGAAAGAAATACGGAGAAAAAAACTGCCTCGTCAGTCATGTAATGAAAGATACATGATCGCCTAAGCGTGTATAACGCATGGCACATAACTGACTGAATGACACAAGATGTTGACTTTCCACACTACATTAAACAAAAGGTTAGGAAGGAACCCCTCCCCCATCAATTGAAAAGAGCAATAACAGCTATTGGACTTGAGGAAAAAATTATTTCATGGAAAATTGTTTTAATAGAAAAAGTTTACATTTACGTGCTAATACCCTTGGGAAAATTATAAATCCTCCGAGACCGGGTAAACAGCAGGACAGATCGCCATGGAGGAAAGAAATATCAACCTATTGCGGGAAAAGAAATCTACCTCATTTGTCATGTATCGAAAGATACATGATCGCCTAAGCGTGTATCACGCATGTCACATAACTGATTGATAGGTAACATTAGTCGGACTGGGGTAGTGGATCTTATTTTATCTCATTCCATGTTAGGTTATATTTTTTACTATTGTTATAGTTTTGTTTATTAGTATGTTTTAGTACTGCTTTTCATCATTGCTATTATAGTTGATTCAATAGGTCAGTCGGGAGTCTCGGGGGTAGTATTCGCCGGATCTGATTATGATCACATAGAACAGGAAATGATGCGATATTCAAAAAGATATATGGCTAACTTGTTTGTAAGTTAAAATGTAGCCATTAAACTCGAATGACATTTGGTTGCAATGTAAGATCGGGAGTGGTTTCGCCATTTTAACCAATAGTTGTGAGTATCTCGTTTAAAATGCTCATTCACTATCGGCTAAGATGACTCCAGACGACATTAACACTGACGGTGCCAGTCTTTTTATCGTTGTTTTATTCGGACATCTGCTCGATGGACGTCAACTGACGGCGAAACCTCGAAACATTTTCGGCTGCTGACATCTTTCAAGATTTGCATAAATGCCATCAGCAACGCCCATTCTATTTGCATAAACTGTCCTTCTAAGTGGACATAACAGCTGGTCGGAGCAGTTGACCGGCAGGATTAACAAAGTATTATGGTTGTGATTCACGGCCAAGACATTCCAATTCTCAACAATCCCAGCGCTTTCCACAGACCCTAATGCCTCATTCAGATGGACCTCGACGAAAAGGTTGAATTCTTTTTGACCAGGAGACCGTCTTAGTCAGCTTTGGATGATTCTATGCCATTTTATAAGCGATTCGAAGTATTCGACGATACCCGTCTATTAGGGCGGCTAGTCAATCCCTATTGCAGACGCTTGCTCAGGCGCATTTGTGCTTATTCAACACCCACTTAGCCCACCTGTGGATTATGCTGCAACTATGCTGAGCAATTGCAGTTTCTGGGAAAGAGCGTGTTAACAATTTGAACAAGGCCAACACGCACAAACTCTCGGTCACGATGACTTTTGACTTCGTGCTAGTACAGCTATCAGGGTTCCGTCTACCGAATTTCACTCACAAATCTTGGGACGTGGTTTTCAGTTACTTTCCAAAGGTGCATGCTGGGATCAACCCATCCAGTCCGATAACATCACGAAGTCTCCTTACTGAGAAATCGACCATAGGGAGATTCGAACCCGAGTCTTATGGTCAGAATGAGAACGTTCGATTCACTCGACAAGGTAACCTCAACGAAATATACTTATAACAGCATAGATTCGTCTTATTGTATTCATTGATTGATCGATTGATATTTTTTTTATGGGCTGTCAACACTTTTGGGGTTATTTAGAGCCGAAACATATTTTGGATTGTAAGAATATTTCTTTTTTTTTTTTAGAAAGAATATTGCGTTATTAACTTTTTGTAAAGGATGATAGTGATTTCCCAGCTAGAAGATCTATTATTTAACCCACAGATAGGGGAGAAGATGGACACATAGCTTTTCCACCTGTATTTACGCGTAACCGTGCTACTAGATTGGCATCTAGGCCCCACTCGTTTATTGCTGAATTAGTTAAATGCAACCGCCACTTCTACTCCAAGAGTTTCTTTTCTAGCACTTCCCGACTGTGAAACTCCCTTCCGCTTATTTACTTCCGTGATAAAGACAATTTTTAAAAATTGAAGTTCAGCGTTAATCGTCCATCGTGTAGCCATTCATCAATCCCTCTATCCAGTCTTTTCTGTCATTTTTACACACTGTACCCCAACCCCGTGTGCTAATGACATTTCCGCCTTGCTTGGGGTGAAATGATTTTTCAAAAAAATGAATGCAAAGGACCGACTGGAATCTGAATTGGGATCTTCGAATTCTCATTCCGAGCTGCAAGCTATTACACCATATGTATAACACCACCCGTATACATACATATGTCATAGCCGAAACTGCCCACATATGTTTATATATGTATGAGTCCCGACAGACGACCAAGTATGTATATGTGTCT